ACTAACTAAAGGGCTGGTTGCCTCTTCTTGGAGCCGTGGAAGTGTTGGACTAACTAAAGGGCTGTGCGCCTCCTCTTGGAGCCGTAGAAGTGTTGGACTGTGCGTTGCATGGATAAGTACCAGTGAAACGAGAAGCAAGGCAGACTGTCATCAAGCCAGAGTGGTCACTGTCGGTGCTGTCCGCCCGTCAGACCTGCCCTTGATCCCATTTCCCCCACGGATGTTGTTGAGCTGTGATTGGTAGAGAACATGGTGATTGATAACAGTGACGTCAGTTTACATGCTGGTGTAAGAGACCTGCGTGTCAGATGCCGAAGACAGGTGTGCTTTCTGTAATGTGATCTGATGTGCGTCTTCCCAGTGTTCCTCCGCTGAGCGCTGCAGACGAGTCCCGGAAGAGCTGCACTGTGGGCATGGCCACGACGATCCTCGCCCTGCTCTCCTCTGCCTGGTTCCCCTTGGACCTGCCCGCCCACCAGGACGCGCTGACCTTAGCTGGCAACCTGCTGGCAGGTACTGCTGTGTCGTACTGTCGCTGGTGCACCAGGGAGGGGCTCGCGTGGAGGGACCACGCTGGGTGGTCCTTGCCACATCCTCTAGTGCGGACTCCCGGTGTCCACTGGTGACTTGTGGCCACCGGCATATTTTGAGGGGACCCCTTCGTGGGCCACGCCAGCTGTGTGACAACTCCCTCAAGGGTGACGGCGCCTTTGCACACGTCTGCAAAGATGCAGCCATCGGCCCCTCTGCTCTAGCCACGTCGCCCACTGTGTGCAGACTGTGCTCTCTCCAGTTTGCAGCCCCCCCCCCCCCCATGGACAGCACTGTCTCAGGCTCCAGGGCCATAGTGGAGGGGGGCACGAGTGCAGACTGAGCCTGTGAGAGGCAGACTGAGCCTGTGAGAGGCGGACAGGGCTGCCCTTGTGACCTTAGTCCTGTGTGCTGGGACAGGGGGAGCAGGCAGTGCATAGCAGGAGTACCAGCCCGGTGATGGGCATCACTATGGGACGTGTGGGGAGGGTGGCGAACCCCACTGAGTTGGAGTTGGCATTGGGGGCCCCTTGCCTGTGTGGCCCCACTGGGAGTGGAGACCATTCATGGGAGTGGAAGTGACCCGGCTGGTGTGCGTGTGTGCTGAGGAGGGAGGGTGAGAGGCGAAGGTACCAGGTGCCCTGACTGAGGCTCCATCCTGGGTCGCCGGGTGTGTGGATGAGCGTCCGAGCACAGGCGGGTCAGCAGTTACCCACTGCAGTGCTGGGGGTAGTCCAGGCAAGATGGGCTTAGCACACAGCCCCAAGTTGGGTGCATACATTGTCATGGTTTGGGCTGGTAAGAAAGATTGTGAGGGGCCAACACCCGCTGGTCTTTAGTCCGGAGGCTCAGACAGAGGTCTCAGCATGGGCTAGGGTGTGGTGTGGTGGTATATCAGCAGCCATGGTGGTACACTGGGTTGTACTGTGGGCTGCTGACCGCTGGCTAGCAGTTTGAGCCCCGCAGCCTCTCCAGAGGTCCTCTCTGCAGATTTCCATCTCGGAAGGGCACTTCTGATGTGCCCTTCAGGATTGCGGTGTGTTGGCAGTGAATTTGGTTTGGTTTGAGATGGAGGTGACAGGTGGAGGGAGACCAGGAACATGTGGTGAGGGTGCATCAGTGGTTGAAAGGGGGGCTCTGATTGAACCTCACTCCAGCAGGATGTCCCAGTGTCTCCTTGCCCCTGGAGATGGTGAGCTAATACCGGTCTCTGTTTCACAGCCAGTGCCCCTAAGTCTCTGAGAAGCTCATGGGCCCCTGAAGACGAGGCCGACCCCACGACCACCAAGCAGGAGGAGGCGTGGCCCGCCCTGGGGGACCGGACACTGGTGCCCATGGTGGAGCAGCTCTTCTCCCACCTGCTCAAGGTGATCAACATCTGCGCGCACGTCCTGGACGACGTGGCTCCCGGCCCCGCAGCCAAGGCAAGCGCTCCCCGGGTTCCCGGTGGCCCCTTGGACAGCCCGTGCGCCCTGTCCGTGTCTCCGAGGAGGGGTGGGAACTCCTTGCTTTCACTCCTAGGTGGTCAGTCTTAGCGGTACCCAGAACTGAAGTTGCTGCTCCCAGTACTCGGTGCTGTCCCTCCTGAAATGGCGGGCACACAGTGGCTTTTCTGTGAGGTGCAGGGTCAGTGATCACACTGTGCACAGCATGGCGACCCTCAGATGCATCTGTGTGTGGTTCTGCGTGTCTCTGTCCTGTGCATACCATGCATTTCCCCCTTCAGGATGCTCCCTCTTAAGTGTGCCTGCCCCTGCAGCTCCTTCACCGCTCCTGGCTGCTGCTCGCCTCTGCAGTCAACGTTTCCCCTCTGTGGGTCTGCGCTATCCAGGACACTAGCCACTAACCACAGGCTCGCTGAGCCCCAATATGCAGGTTTTGCAGCACCCAGTGCCCGCTGGCCTGTTGTTAACTTATGCCAAGGTCTCAGCTGCCCTGTGTAGTTGTGACACCAGTGCCCCGGCACCTGCTCCGAGTGCACAGACCACTCCTGGAGCTGCCCTCCTACTGAGCCACCTGACCCTGCCCACCACCTAGAGCTCAGAGTGTGGACGTGCTGAGGCCTCTGTGTCCTGCCACAGGTCGGGTTCTAGACACAGTGTGAGCCTAGAGGGCATCTGGGTGTATGGACACCCAACCCTGCTGTGTCCCACCTGGGAGCTGCTTTCATTAAAGACATGGCTTCAGACCTTTTCCGTACCCCGGCATAGAGTCGCAACCGCCTGCTGCCAGAATCGGCCACGTCTGGTGGCCTCAGGCTGTCTGCCACTTCCTGAGGGGCCACAGTGGCCCCCGGGGCGTGGACTGAGGCCAGAGGAAATAATTGGCCACTAGACCTTCACTGCTGGGGTCCTGAGGGCTGTCCTGCCCTGTTAGTCACAGTGGGTCCCTCTTCTGCAGCTGAGGGCTGAGCAGGACGCTGCCTCTGTGCCTCCACATGCCTTGCCCAGCTCACCTCCCCTTTTGCTTCTCCTCAGGCGGCCTTGCCTTCTCTCACAAACCCCCCTTCACTGAGCCCCATCCGACGGAAGGGGAAGGAGAAAGAGACCGGGGAGCAGGCCTCCATGCCACTGAGCCCCAAAAAGGGTTCTGAAGCTGCTCCAGGTGAGGAGAGGTGGGTGGGCGGGTAGAGAGAGCAAGAGTGGGCATTTGTCCAAATCACGCAAGAGTAGCGTGATTTGATGTTCTGTGGATGGAGAGGGAGCAGTGAGGCCTAGTGTGAAGTCTGGCCATTCTGTGTGGGGTGTTACCTGGACTCA